GGCAGTGGCCGTATGGCTGGGCTGGAGCAGGGGCTGACTGCCTCTTCACCCAGGGGTAGTCCCGGGACATCCTTAATATCTCGCCAGTCTTTCCCTGCAGCTCTGTGGCTCCATCACTGCTGCTGACATTGCTTCCCTGGCAGAAAAACCGCATGGGCTTAGCATGGAGAACAGCTAAACTCTGTCCTTGCAGGCAGCATGGATGCTGCTGGCTGGTGAGACCCCTGCTTGGATGGAAGCAGAGCCATCGAGAGCCTTTCAGAGTACAGACGTGACATGTTTGCTGCTCAGAACATACAAGGGCTTCTTAAAGTATTAACAAATAGACTCTTTTTATAGTTAATATCCACAGTATGTTTGTCCATAGCATAGGCTGAGTTATTCACAGAAACAGCTACTGCATCACTCTTTAGATTTCAAGTTACAGAGGAGCTCCAAAATATTTTATATTGTGTTTTAAGATCAAAGAGTAGTATATCAGGAGATACCCCAGGCTACCCTTGACTACTATTCTGCATTTTTACAGTACAAAACTGGCTTCTTTTCTATGTCCCTCTGCCCATTTCTCTGTCAAGTGGGAGGTAAACCTAAATCTTAAAATCTGTACTCTCTTTTTACTCCATCTTTTTCCTTTAACCTTACCTGGAAAATGCACTGCTGAAGCCTGTGAGAATTCTTCCAAATAAAGCCATTCATCAGCATTATACATCAGAAACTCAACCGCTTTACCTACTTAACAGCAAAAAACATATGCTATTGCCAAGATAGATTAAGAGTTGAAGTCTAGGTAGCTGCTTTGTTTCCAGGAGTTACTAATGGTAGTATATATTTTGAGTGTCAGAGCAATAGTCAAACCTATAAAAGTGATTGGTGACTGCTTGATATCAATGATGTTTTTAAAGTTTGTCTCAGGCTTGTACAATGAGTCCAGCACTCATCTGAGTCTCAGAGGGGCAACAGAGTGGCCGTGTGCTTAGAGGGCACTGTATCTCAGCTGTGACCAGCCAGAAGAGATGGGAACGAAAGAATGGAAGTAATAAAGAGCTACGACTGTGTTGTAAGGAGTTAATGTTGTCCAGATTTCTATACCTCCCACCCCTCCCTAAAAGTTAATAGGAGAAACTTGGAGAAGTCCTCAACTGTAAATTACATCTTTAATCCAGTTATACCTTGTGGAGGCTATTGGGATGAATTGGCTGAATGATATGTTATAGTCCATGCCAGCTTGGTGCCTACCATCATCAGAAATGTTTTTGAAAGCTTGAAAGCAAGTGCATTGCACCCATCGTCTGTGTTCCTTAGGACTCTTGAGAATGTGATTTATTTTGTTTTTTTTCAAGACGTGGAAATACAGTCAGAGGCAGTAAACTGTCCCCGGATGATTGCAAGGGTAGAATATATTTTATGTGGTGTACTATTGCTGTGGTGTCAGGACTGCAACTGCCTTGGCAGTTCTTGGGGTTTCCCACTTTCACAGAAATGGGAAGGGGTTGAGATGGTCATGGAGGATCAGAGTTCAGCTCGGAGGCCTTTGAGGGTTGGTAGATCTTGTAAATGTCTGAGCTTGGCAGCATCAACTTGAGGTGGATGACTAAGAGGTTGAGTCCGTTCACAGGACCCAGTGCTCGCTGGGGAATGGAAGTGCAACTGTGGATCAGTGGAGACATGGTTACCTCTTACCCCATAGATCTTGGACAGGTTTGGGGCATGAAACTAGGGATAACACATGTAGAAAGTCCACCTAAGCAGTGAACAGCAGAAAAAAACCTGTGCAGTGTAAAGAAGATCAGACTCTGGATCTGTTCAATGACAAGGAAACTGCCATCAGAACATCAAGTAATAGATGCTGGCTGTGTTTAGTTTCACAAGAACCCAACCTCCTTGATCATGCCCTACTTCTTTAGATGTAGCCATGTCTTTCTAACCTGCTTGTACAGGGGAACACTGCTGTGATCTGTGGTCCTTAAAAATGAGGAGGTGCTGTGCAAGCAACGTCAGCGAGGGTTATATGCTGGCAGGGCTTTGTGAGCCCCCAAGAACTACGTCCCCAGCAGGGTCTGTGCCAGCCTGACATATGTCCCATGGTTGGTTATGAAACCTACCATCTCCCTCCAGTACTAACGCTGTAGGAGATGTCCTCTTTGCTCCTTGTCACAAAGTTGTGATTTCTGCTCTCAGAGCAGAGGACAAAGACTTCCTTCGTGTCATTCGCTAGCAAGGCCTTTTACATCCCACTGTGTGATTAGGAACCTTCCTTTGAAGCAACACCTTGGCTCCTTAGGGAAAGCAATAAGCCCTCAATAGCCTCTCCCACCACTCCACTGCAAGGGAGATCTTTATGGTGTCTCCTCAAATTATTTATACCAGTCTATACCAGCTGATATTTTTATGACTTGTTTTATGAACTGCACCTTGAAACACAGAGGTCTCCCCTTCCCACCACAGCCGAGCCAGCCAGCAGTGCAGGGTAAGGCCAAAGGGACACGCACACTGTGCAAAAGCCAATCCTCCTGGTTTGCGTGCAAAGACTTGACAACATGAAAGAACAAAAGTCATTCAAACCAAAATTGCCTGTTTGCTTTTTGTGTTTGGAGAAATACAGCGTGTGTAGTCCCAACAGAGGCATCTTGCGGCAAGAGCTGAATTTTGCCTTTGCATCTCAAAAGCTGGAAGTCACGTGGGCCCGGGGAGTAATGTAAAAAAAAGCCAGAACCTGCCAGAAGGAATTCACAATAAAGGGAGAGACTTTTTTTCCTTGTGACTAAAACACCTGTCACGGCTGCTAGGACTCTGCTAATTACACAATAACTTTATTATATCCCACTTGGAAGAACAAACGATACTTGAAGCTCCAAAAATGAGCAGCCTTTAGACTAGATTAATGACTGCATGGAGCCAGTGTTCGCCTTGTCCTCCCAGAAGCTCTGGAGAGTAAAATGGCTTGAAGACTTTGTTGCTAGTACTACATAATAAAGTAATTGTGCAATTAGAAGTAGATTACTGATGGGAGAGAGGCATTTTCTATGCAATGTAGGTAAAAGCCAGGCTTCTCTGAATAAGTTTCAAGCCTCAGTGCAGCATCTCGGCTCATTTTTGCTTGAGCTTCTGGTAGCTCTGGTAGCCCTGGTAGCATCCATGCAGGAGAAAAGGGGCATCTCTAGTTGAGTGTGGTTTTTCTTCCCATGTGAACATATAAGGGAGGTCCTCATGGAAGGTTGCAGTGCAGTCCCCACATTGCCCAGCTCCTCAGGATCATGTGTTTACACAGCATGAACGGCTGTGGCATGGATTAAAGGGTTTCACTTCGTGAAGGAGGTGCTTGTGATGCTGGCTGGCAGGTTGGACCCCAGGACAGGTGAGAGCAGATGGAAGTGGGGAATAATGTATTAATGCCTGATGTCCCCTGAGGTTTCCAGCTTTGGCAGCTGATAGCAAAGACTGAAGTTAAAAGATGTAAAAATAAAATAAAACATAAGTCAAAAATTGGGGCACGGCTGAATATTGTGAAATAGTTCTATGTGCGAAGCAGGCCTTGGCTCTCAGGTATGGATGTTCTTTCCTTCATCACTTTATTTTACCTATGGGAACAAGCCTGCCATTGGTTTGGGCAAGATTAGAGCAGTGATGTAAAGAGTCCTAGCTGGGGCACGAAGCTGAAGGACCTGGAGCATGGTTGCTGGCTGGCCATCTGCAGGAGGGAGATCAATGTGGGTACATTTGGGCACACTGGTGTTTTGGAGACCTATTCCATGGAAGTAGACAAGGTTGCGTAAGTGGGTGCTGTGGGACTTGGGGGAGGCACGTGGACTGGCCCAGTTGGCTGGGGTGCTGAGATGCTTGGGGAGCAGGAAGGTCTCTTGTGTACATTGACCAAGGAGGTGGGTGCTGAGGGCTCTGTGCTCATGGAGCAGCAACTTCAGGACTTTGCATGGGGGTCAGCGCAGAGGGACCACTTCAAGCGCTCCACCAGGTCCCTCTCAGCCTGGCGGGGATCAATAACTGGTCCTGTGAGCAAGAAGCAGATGGGGAATTGGGATTTAAGAAGTACTTGAGATGGCAGCACATGAATTAGAGGAGATAAAGAGGAGGGAATCTTCTGGGTTTGTTGCAGCTCAGCCTAAAGTTTGTGGTGCTGACTTCTCCATATTTTGCTGGGGCCTCTCTTCTCTGCCATCCTTGGGTGCCTGTGGCCTCGGGGTTCCAGCATGGCACAGGGCTCCTCTCAGGGTAAACACCCTCTGTGTCCTTGCTCTAGTGAGAGCAAATAATGAACACCAGAGAGGCTGTGGAGGGATGGGAGACTCCTATTACTCCCATCCTGGGGGGGTGACTACTTTACCTCATTTTCTTGCGCGTCTGATGGTGGTGTGAGCTTTTTAGGGTCAGGAGGGTAAGGGGGAGATGTTGCCGTTTGTGCTGGTGGTGGGATGCAGCATGAGCTAAGCAAGATCTGCTCCAGTACTTCGTGGGTCCCTGCAGGTATCAGCCTTACCAAAGGTCTCCATGCGTGTGCTGGAGTGAAACTGGAGGAGGGGAGACAAGATGGGCGACACCTTGGGTGAGAGAAATGGTGTGAATATGGGTTTGGGGTGAAATAGATCTTCTGTAGGGGTGATGTTTCTCCAGTCTAAGCTCAGTTATGTATTTTGCCAAGCTTATGATACCAGGGTATACAGGCACCACAGCGACTGATCTATCTTGTGACAGCCCTAGGTTTGTGCAGCACTCACCTCTGCTGTAGTGTCACCTGTGGCTACTTTAACCTCTGCAGGATTGTCAGCCTGGTACCCCAAAACCAGGAAAGAAAACTTGAGGTGTCTTCCCTGCCTTGTGAGCTGCCTGGGGATGGGCTAACTGCCGGGAGTGCTAGGACAGGCATCCGGTCCAGGGGCTGGTGGTGGTCCACTGCTGACCCGCAGGGATCCATACCCGTGTGGTCAACAGGGCTCGTGGGTCCCCTTTCCCGTGTTGTGCCTGATGGATGTGTGTGGTCTTTGCAGGTCCTGTGGCAGTGATCAGCGGAGAGGAGGATTCAGCCAGTCCCCTCCACCACATCAACCATGGCATCACAACGCCCTCGTCCCTGGACGCTGGCCCGGACACGGTGGTGATCGGCATGACCCGCATTCCCGTCATCGAGAACCCCCAGTACTTCCGACAAGGTCACAACTGCCACAAGCCAGACACGTGTGAGTGCCCGATCCGGCCGGAGCCCCCTGCGAGGACCAGGGGATGGGTTGGGGGGATGGGGGAAAGAGGGTGGGGAGGAAGAGGTTAAGAGGATGAGGAAGAACAGAAGGAGGTTTTTGAGAAGAGTGGGTCTTGGTATGGTCCAGAAACCAAAGTGAATCTCAGGTCTCAGAAATCACAACATACATGTAGGTGCTTCCAGAGTAGACTTTCCACCCTCACCTTCACTTCCCTTCACCCTCCCTCCGCCACCCACCAGTCACCTTCCCCCCTTGCCTGAAAGTGCCATTCAAGCTGGGGTCTGCCTTGTTGGCTCCAAGCGTGAGGTCCCAGGCATGAGCAAGAGCTGCCTGGGAGCGTGGGGATGGATGTGACCCCTGCCTGGCTGGGGAAAGGACCTGCGTCCCCTTCCTCCTCCAGCAGTTTCCCAGCCATGGGACTGCCTCCTTGGCTCCCTGCCGGGCCAGGGAGAAGCTCAGGACACGTGGCCATAGGTGGGGTAGATGCGTGGAGATAAAGAACAGGAGGCTTAGATGCTGGATGTCTTGTTCTCATGGGCTTCTGTAAAGCTTTTGTATCTTTCCCGTATAAATCTGGGTTGTGAACTGGGCTCGTTAGACTAGCAGGTGATGATCAAATGGTCCTCTCCATTTTGCGTTCCTAAATTCTGAGCGTAAAAGAAAAGCGCTGGGTAAAAGGGTGTTTTTCTGGGAGTCCTGCACTGCTTCCCATGCAAGTGGTGAGATGCAGCCTCCGTGACCCGTGGCTCGCAGCCAGTAGTTGAGTCCTCCTAGGCCTCTTACCAGCTGTGAGATGCAAGGTGAGCAATGCAGGAGGTCTGGATAACGTTCCTTTCCTGCTATTGCTCATCTTTTTGGTGTGTCTTGGTTCTAGGTAGAACTGGAAAAACAAAAAGCTTGCAAAAAAAAGGGAAAAAAAATCCAAGTTGTGTTATGTCTGTGGCCCAGCCAGAAGTAGGGAGTGCTGCACTGGAGTCGCCTCTGCTCTCCCCTTGGCTGCTGCTGACTCATGAGTGCAGGAGACGTAACTCAGCCCCTGGAAACAGGGAGGAGGCCGATCTCCCAACCTGCGGAAACTCATTCAACATTAAGTACTCAGCAGGAGCGTGCTGCTCCCTAGCCACCACTCCTCCCATCAGGGGATGGGGAGCTGTGGCTGCTGCTCCCATGGAGGTGTCCCTGGGGCAGCCCCTCTCAGGTGCTGCAAGCCGGTGCCTGAGCCGTTATCACCATGCTTCGCTTGCCGGAGCAATGGGGTGTACCCAATGAGTGCACCCGGCTTTCCCTTTGATTTTCATTTTAATGTGCTAAATTTGGTCTGTTTGTAGAGAGGGGAGGAGGAGGGCAGTGATTAGGCAGGAGCAGAGAAGCTGAATGTAGCATGGGTTTTTCCGTGATGTTAATTATGTATTTTACATTTCTTATAGCACTTCATCTCAAAATGATTTACAAACTCTGATGGCTTGGGAGGGGGGCTCCCTCACTTTATGTTTTTTCCCTTCCCCTCCTGTGCTCTCTCAAATCTCTTTGATCTATGCGCCGACCATTGCAAGACGCGGGTGCTGTTGCAGCTGTGCAGTAGCAGAGCTTAAACCTCAAAGGATTAAGTTGTGCTCCGAGTGTTTGCCCTGTGGGGCTTGTCAGAGCTGAACGGGTTGTAGGGGAAGTCACTCGCAGCAGGATTTGGCCTCGGAGTTTCATGGGGCTATTTGATTAGGACCTGAAGAGTTCACAGAGATGCTTGGGGGCGGCATCTGGAGCTGCTTCTCCCATGGAAGATGCCACAGGGGGGAAATGCAGCACTAGTGACAACTGTGCACACTTGGAAATCCACAGCAAATCACCACCTCCGAGCTCCAGGTTTCCCTGCGAGGCAGCAGGGCTGAAACCAAACCCCCCCCCCCCTCCAGGCACTAACACCTTGTTTGGGTGCTAACAAGAGGCAAACCACAGCTGGATGCTGGCAGGTGGAAAGCCTTTCTATTTTTTAGATTTGCTTGTCGTTCATGGGGCAAAACCCAGGCTTTGAGACCAGGTGGATTTGGATTTGGTGTGTGTTTTGTATTTTAGTCCCCAAGACTTTACTTGGACAAAACTTCTGACTTCACCGGTTGCTTTGCTTGAGGCTGGAAAGTTTCATAATTCACCTTTTAAATTAACCATGCTTTGGGGACCATTCGCTGTAAGGGGTTTGTTTGATCTGATGTGCTCTGCTCAACTTAAACCTGAGCTGGAGAATATTTGTTGCTCCCGTTCTCCCTGTGGTTTTCATGCCAGAGGGTTTTTCTTTCCCCCTGTGCAGAGCTTGGACACAAACTCTTCTTCATTTGCTGTCACTTGTAAAGAGGAGAACTCTGGGCTGGGGAGTGCCTTGATGTCCAGCTGAGCCTGTACTGCTGCAAGCTGTCATCTCTCTCCTGCCACCCACCTCCCACAGAGCTGCTGTCCAGCTGTGAGCAAAGGTGCTCCACGGCACCCAGCATCTCTCCTTTTGCACCGTGGTGTAGCTAGAGCAACATCTTCAGCAAGCAATTTCTCTCTCCATTGTGCAGCTTTTCTCCTTCCTTCCTCCAGCAAGCATCCCTGTGCTCTTGGATGTTGTCTGGGTTGAGGACACGCTGATACCCATTGCCGCGCTGCAAAGAGGAGAGCAAACTCTATATGCTTAATGCAGTATTAATAGTACATTGATGTGATATAGATTTCTGTCACCCTCTATACTAGCAAACATTGCTTATCACGCAGGGATGACGGATGTTTATTCCCAGCCACTTAGCTCTGCATAATGGAATTGCAGCTGAAATATGGAGAGCAGCTCCCTGCCTATGGAGCTGCAGCCCCTCTTGCTCCCGCTGTGCAATGCAGTCCTGTGGGCTCTTCTTGTTAACGTCTCCTCAAGTAGATAGAGACATCTTCCTCACTGGGGATGTGCTGTCCTTGCATCAATGAGTTGAAGGGCACAGGAGCCAGCTCTCTCTGAAGTCTCCTACCCCCTTTCTGCTACTGCCTGATTTAGAGAAACAGGAGGGACAAGCTTGGCTCAGGGTCCTTTTTTGCCTCCTGGCTGAGGGCTTCTCAAAGAGCCATGGAAGAAACTGCACCACCCTGTTTTCTTGTGATGAAGCACTGAGTCGTTGGGAAGATGCTTCCCCCATCTTTACACTGTAACTCCACGGCATGCTGGGCAGCACTTTGCAACCAATCCGTGTTTCAGCCATCCTCAGCCCTACCTGGAGGGTTAAGTAAAGAGCTTGGCAGTGGGGACAGTCCAATCACAAATCAATTTCAGAAGAATAAGCTGAAATGGTCTTTTTTCTCCTGATCTTTTGCACATGGAAGAGAAACCAAGTGGTGTATCTGCTTGGCAGATGTCAGCAGGAGGAGCGACAGGTTGATGAGTTTGTACCTCTCTGTATTTGGAAATAAACAGATGAGAGGAGAAGAACAGGATTTGTTGCAGAACAAGCACTGTGGACAGAATATGTGATGAGGAGATACAGTGTATGACCACATGGATCAGTCCTATGATCAGGGGTTTTGGTAATGCAAAATATGATCCAGTCTACCTTCATTTGTGTCCAGAAAATGGCTGTCCGTCCTTCTGGGCAGGAAAAGTCAGCTCATTACAACGGCGAGCTCCTTATCAGTGGAAAAAAAAGGAGCATTGGCTTGAAATAAGTTCATGAGGCTGTTAGTAGGACATAATTTTCATACATATGCTTCTTGGCAGTAACAGCAACTTTTAACCTTAGCTCCATCTCCTGATGTTCAGGATTCAAATTTGCAAAATGGGTAATTATGAGTAGCTGGAGACTTTTGCGGTGAAAGACTGGTAATGTTTCAGAAGGAACATTTTGGAAGATTATTTTACTTTAATGGTAGTAATTAATTATTAGCACAATGCATCAGATGCAGATTAGTTCTTGGATCTGATCTCTCAAGCTTTACTCAAATTCCACAGCACAGTTTTGCAGTTATTCTATTCTCTCATATTTCTTGTCTGACCAAAGAGGTCTTCTCGAGAATGACACAAATCAGAGAAAAAAATTCAAACCTTAATGGAGAAAATTAATCTGGGGGGCAGATCCTTTGCAGATCCCTGTCTGTCTCCCATCAGTGGATGCTCGGTTCCCACCAGTGCTGTGAAGCTAGACTTTTGGGGCAAGTGGTTTGATTTTCGTGGAGGTTGTTGCCAGACATGACTGGAGCTGGCTGTGTTTTCCTCTTCCAGGACTGGCGCAGTCTGGGGACTGGGATGCATTCTCCACACGGGTGGAGCAGCCGTCCTTCCGTAGAGTCCTAATGAGGGTTTTTTTCAACCTCATTTATTACAGGCTGCCCTGACATAATTACATATTCGAAGTTAGTAATTACACATATTCATGCTAATTAAGTAATTAGATATAATTACACTAACTGTAAATACATGGTAATCGGCTAAAAAGAAGTACTTCAGAAAAAAACAAGCAAATCACACAATAAAAGCGCCATCAGCACTCTTTCACTCAGTACCCTGTCTTTATCTTGTATTTCGGTGCAGTTTAAAAAGAACATTGTGGTCATTTCAAAAATCATAATTTTTAAACAAATAGATTTCCTTACCTCTGTTTCTAATAGGTCTTGAAAACAAAACTGGGAAGGATATTTACCCTTACCACTGTAAATTCTTTTTGTTTGCCTAGTGTGTTTTGTTCATCCTGGGCATGGGAAGCTAGAAAGTATGCAGCGTTTCTATTTTTGGTCAGTTCATGTTCCCATTTTCACTAGAAACAACACCAACATAAAAATAAAGCCATAAATACTTGCAGTTTCATTTGGCTTAAAAAGAAAACTGAAACTGTTGGTAGCAGAAAAGGGAAACTTTTCTTTCTTTTTTCCCCAGGGATAAGAGGATTTGTCAAATATCATTTTCATGCCATATAAATATGGTGCCCAGTGTGCAGTGACAGCAGCACTCTGCTGCCCAGTGCCCAGCGTGG